GTTGCTGCTTCTGCATTATCATAAGCAAAACGAACCATGCTAACTATCCATCTTGCAATAGTGTCTTTTGATGCTTCCTTGTGGTTATTCTGTTGGTATGTCACAAATAACCTATTTGACTTCCGAATAGTTTTCGTTCTATTGATATAAATCTTCAATGCACGACAAGGACACAATTTTAAATCCTCTGAATCCGTGGCGAATGAATCAAATGCAGGAATATAAATAGGGTCCCATGGTCTATTTATAGTTTGAGTCTTTGCCAGGAATTCCATATTTGGTAACATTTTTATTCCTTTCCTCTCTATTCTAAAGTGACCATCATCTAAAGTGAGGCTATGAATCTCGCTCACTCTCGAAGCTGAAGCTATGGCTACCAGAAAAACAGTTTTAAGAGTCAAAAACTTTAGATCTGCTGACTCTAGTGGTTCAAACGGATGTTTTGTGAGAGTTAACAAAACCAGTGGTAAATTCCAGTTCGGTGTCAACTGACGTACAGATGGGTGTTTATTAAATAAACCTTTCAACAATGAAGACAGTTCTGTACTTGTACCAATACTGCTCCCATTCTGATGAACTATTGCTATTGCTGACTTGTATCCAGCTATAGTCTGTGGTTTACACTTTCTCACATTGAAGAGATACATAAAAAATTGTGCTAACTCTGGTATAGATGTTGTAATGGGATTAACACCTTGTTCTTTACACCAACTGTTATATATTCTGAGTCTTGCATCATAAACTGTTTGTGTAGATGTCTTTCTGGCATTTGCCATAATTTCTGCAATTTCTTCAGAAAATCCTCTTGACTTGTGTTGCAATTTGACAGTTTCCATGCTACAAGATTGAGAGTTTCTAGATTTTGATGGAAAATCTGATTGCGATTTTGAGAGAGAAGATCTGGCCACAGTGGTAGTTTGACTGGTACGTCGATCAGAAGATCTATTATCTGAGGATACCACGACTGTCTGGGCCACATTGGAGCAATGAGAAGTACAACACTTTGCTCTTCCCGTATCTTCTGCAAGACTTTGGGCACAAGAATAGGTGGTGGGAATGCATAAGCATAAATCCCTTCCCAACTCATTGCTAAGGCATCTACTTGAAAAGCATTGATGTCCGGAAACGGGGAGCAATAGACTGGCAACTTCTTGTTTTGCGCAGTTGCAAACAAGTCTATACATGGAGTTCCTAATTGTTGGAACAATAAATTTACAACAGTTTTGTTGAGTGACCATTCTGTCATTCGAACTTTTTTCCCCCGGGAAAGTGCATCTGCAAGAAAATTCTTCTTCCCTGGAATGTGAACAGCTCGTATTGTAATTTTGCTCTCCATGCACCACTGGAACAACTCCCAAGTTAGATAACACAGTTCTGGTGAGTGTGTCCCCCCTTGTTTGTTGATATAGCTTATCACTGTTGTGTTGTCTGACCGTATAAGGATCACTTTTCCCTTTATCAAAAACAGAGCTTCTTGAAGAGCCAACTGAACTGCCTTTAGCTCCAGCCAATTTATATGCTTCTGTTGATATTGCTGCGGCCAGACCCCTGACGTCTCCCAGTTCTCCAGGTGTGCTCCCCAACCCTGTTCTGAGGCATCTGTTATCAATGTCAGTTGAATTGGCGGATCCTGTAAAGGCATTCCTTTGAAAAAGTTTTCCCGATTCATCCACCACTGAAGGTGCTGAATTAGGATTGGCCGGATCACTATCACATGAGTAAGAGGGTGAATCTTTGGTCTCCACATTGCCAACAGGTATAACTGTATGGGACGCATGTGTAACCTTCCCATCGGAACCAAATAAATGCATGAAGCCATCAGTCCTAACAATTTGAGGATAACTACTGCTTGAGTGTGTTGACTTATTGATAAAGTCTGCACTATGTCTGAAATACTCTGAAACCTGGCCTCTGTTGGTGTCGCAATGCCCTCTACCAGATTGAAATGTGCTCCCAGGTACTCTATATGTTGGGATGGCACTAGAGACGACTTTTCCCAATTCACTAATAATCCCAGCTCCTGAACTAGATGTAATACATAGTCTCTCTGTTGAAGAAGAGTTCTCTTGTCTGGATTGATCATCAACCAATCGTCTAGGTACATGAATATTTGGATTATAATTTTTCTCAAGTGTGTCGCTAGAACTGCCATTATCTTTGTGAAGACCCTTGGAGCAGAACGAAGTCCAAATGGCATTGCTCGAAACTGGTAACTCTGGCCTAGAAATCTGAATCTTAGAAATTTCTGGAAATCTGTGTGAATTGGAATGTGGAAATAGGCATCTGTCAAATCTAGTGAGATTGCAAAGTCCCCTTTTTTCATTGCTTTCATTATGGAACACAAAGTTTCCATTTTGAAATGTCGAGGCACTATTAACTGATTTAGAGGTTTTAGATTTAGAATTGTCCGAAGCCCTCCTTGTTTCTTTGGCACCACAAAAATGGTGCTGTAAAACCCTTCGTTTTCTTGCCCTGCAGGCACAGGTTCTATAACATTTTTTCCTGACAACATGTTTATTTCTGCTAAAATAACTGATTCGTGAATACCATATCTTGGTACACATGTTTCCTTGATATTTACATTGGGTTGAATCATTAATTCCAATTTTAACCCTTCCCTTAGGGTTTCTATTACCCACTGATCCTGCGTGATTACGGTCCACTTCCTGTGGAATTCTAACAACCGTGCCCCTACCTGGGGAAACATATTTACAGACTGGCTGTTTATGAGATTTACTTCCTTGGAGTTGGAAACCCTTTCTGGTTCCCAAAGGTTCGCCTGGAAAAAGAATTTTTCCTGTTCCCTTGTCCTGAACGAAAATTGTCCTTGCTGTGATCAGAACTTAAGGCATTAGTCTCATTAGACTTAGGGACTTTTGCAGAATGAGCAGAGGTCTCATTTACATCTGCTTTCCTCTTTCTGCTCAACTCGGTAGAGTTCCTATTCTCTCTACTCTTGTAGTTCTTATTATAACCCTTTGATGCGTTGTAAACATTTTGGGTTTCCCTAGCATCTCGTAGATTCTCTGCAGAAGTATGGAGAGAATCAAAGTACTGTCCATTAAACAACTGGTTGCCAAAAATGGGTAGTTTTAGCAATTTCTTCTCCGTTGCCTTGCTTATAAAATCTACATTTTTAAGAAAAACTTTTCTTCTACTCAAGACTGAATTTGCCATCACTCTTGCTGTCAAATCAGCCATGCTTCTGAAACAGTTGATGAGGGCTTTACGTCCTTCCACTCGATCATCCTCACATTCAGCCTCATCTAAGAAAGCTGCTATCATAGTGCCATATGAAATGGCTCTGAATAAGGCTCTTGCTGAATTGTCAATTCGCCGAAAGTCATTATCTAACTCCTTATGAAAAGGAGAAAGATTCACTTTTGATTTTCCAAAACTACCCTTCTGGCCTACTACTAATCCCTCCTCAATGTTGTCATCCAACTTTGGAGGATTACAAAAGGCGTCAAAGTCATCCTTTTTAACCATAAATGCTTTATCATCTCTGCCACGTACTGACCTATTTTTCAAATGCCCCGAAGTAGCTTCTTTCTCAACCGTCTTAATCATATCAATGAGTGTTCCTTCAATAGGCATTTTAAGGAGAGACTTTTTCTTGTCACTCTTGTCTCCCTTCAATCGCGAAGAAATAAATGATTTTCTTTCATTTTCTAATGGATCCTCAGCTTCAAGCTAAGATCAATATTGAGCACTTTTGCCATCTTTGAAACAAAACCGTTCCACTGTAGCGGATCAGAAGAATCTGGTGCACCAAAAGGCACCTCTACGGCCGCATCTGAATTGGTACACAAACCACCAAATGATGCATTAGAATCTATATCCTCAAAATCATTATCTCGTGCATTAACAGACAACACATCTGCAACACTGGACTCAAAGGCTGACATTTGTTCATCATAAGCCTTAAACTTGTCAAAATGAGGTCTGCTAATGGTTGCCGTTTTGGAATTGGTGGTCTCATTTCCTCTGGTCAACCTTGCCTCGTTTGCTGCCAATGCCGATATGTTATATTGATCATTAAAATTTTCATCAACATTCTTATGTTTAAGTAACAATTCGACCTGCTGTCTTACTTGTTCTTGAATAATTGCGGATAAATCCACGACGTCGGGTCTGTTATGTTCGGCATTCAGTAAGGCATTGTCGTTTGACTCCTGGACTGCCGCCTCCACAGACGGACTTACGTCCTGCACTGCCATGCCGTCTCCACAGACGGACTGAGGCACCTTACTGTTCATTTTAATTGTTTTCTGTACACTTTTCTCGATCATCTTCGTTATTTTATCCCGCCGTTCCTTTGACCAGGTTTTACAAGTGTCACATGGAAAGGCCTCGTTACAGAGACGATGTTTATAACAAAAAACGTGATCATCTAGAATGTTCATCTTACCCGAACATTTAGAACAGTCTTTAAACTCTTTCTCCATAATTACAACGGGATAAACGCTTCCAAAAACGCCAATATAAACTTTATTTTGCACTGTATGAGGAAAACCGCATGTCCAATATGGCGTCGAGAGAAAACTGAAGAGTTATAGTTAAGGGGGATAACTGGAGGTGATACCGTAGTTACTCTAAAAAAATATATCGACGCATTGTATGGGGAACTAGAGGGAAATTGCAAATAGTTAAGGAGGCAGGTAAGTGGAAATATTGAAATGAACGTACATATTTTAGCGTAATTACGCGAGACGGTATGCACGCGAAAATTTGATTCTCGCGTATAATAGAATTTCTTAAGATTATATAGAGTACTGACCATAATTCGTGAAAATTTTGTTTCGCTAATAAAGAGTCAATGACTATATCGCGAAAATAAGGTGTCGCAAAAATTAAGTGATCTACAGTATTACTCATTGCATTATTTTTTGTTCTGTGCAGATAATTCTTTGACAATCAGTAACTTCAGAAAAAAATCATATGTCTTGTAGTTGTTTATGTTTATAATAAATTACTATGGGATAAAAAAAAACTCTTACTTTAAAATGTTGAGCCAGAGCATAGGGTGCTTTATGAAATACACCCACGATGTTCTGGGTCAGACAAGGTCGGTATCTCGTGTCACACAGCCCGTGACTGGGGACGCTGATTTCTGCGGGGGGAGTCGTCAGGCCGTGTGAGCAATCCTCGCCAATATGACTGGCATCGCAGCTGCAGGTCTCTAAAACAATATCTTATTATGAAGAGCAATTTGATTAAATAGACTGGGCATCAGACATCATACCTATATAGGCCGGAGAAATAGTCTACCTGGGTACGCTAAAGTTCCTTTTTTGCTATAGTTTGGTATCAATGATGTTAGATTGTCTTTGGTTTCATTGTACTCACCGTTAGCACATGTCCCGTGCCCTGAGCAGTTGTTTGGACATGTCAAACTGGAAAGAGTGTCTAAGACACTGACGCCATTGGATGTCGTATTCGTCTGCTGGAAACTTTCATCACGTGACGCTGTCGTTATGCACTTCTTTTTAAGAGTATCTAACGTGGCCTTCAAGAAATCAGTGTCGCCTTGGAGCTGTTAAAGTGTTCAGAAAGAAAAATGAAGAAAACGAAGTGCAGTATCAATTTGCGTAGTTTATCTCTCATTTAAAATAAGCTGCTGTTGGATCAACATGACATGACTTGGCTCAAGGCATGCTAAGTTAAACCGATAATTTTACTTAAGAGAAAATCTAAGTCTAAAATCAATGGTCGTGTATGCACTTGAGCATGATCAATTCTATTTTTTGTATATATATATGATTATTCTGAATCTGTGAGAAACGAGAGCCACGGATTTGGTTGTAGGGATACCTTGATATCCGTGATACAGCTGTTTGTGTATTCCGCCACGCTTGTGTTGACCTTCTCTATGCAGACTGTGACCGCGGGATCGTTCGTGAAGGCGTTACTGCAGTAGTCAGTAGCAGCCGTCTCATTCCAACCATTCCGCCACGTAGCCACCTTATCAGAAAGCAAAGGTTATAATCAGGACAAAAGAACATGGAAACGACTTTAATTTACCGGTCCCCAGAAAAACGCGCTAAAATATAGTGTCGCCGAAGGCGACTTCTGTATATATGAGATCGCGTGAGCGATCGAAAAAAAATTAAATACGAGGTTTTTTGGCCTTTTGACCCCAAGATCGAATTCTAGGGTTAAAAGTTTAGTTTAAACCTTCATTTTAGAACGAAGTTTTCAACCTCGTTCTCTGAAAAAAAAATTTTTTATTCATGGAAAAAAATTGACAAAGAATAATTCTGAACGAATCGTGTGCGGCGCATGCTTACACAGTGTCATTTCTTTCGGAATTAGCCATTCTTCCATTTAAAGTTTATCAAACGAACAAAATGCCATAGAAGATAGATTTTATCTTAGAAAAATTACAGAAACAACTGAATTTCTTAACTTATCTGAAATAACGAATCACTAACCCTTATCTCTCGGATGGTATGCAAGGACTAAGATGTTTAAAGACGAAATATCCCGGGCAGATGCTAGACTAACCCTAATCAGTCGAATAATGTGCGAGGACTAACCCCAATCTCTCCGATGGATGCGACACTAACCCTAATCAGCCGAATACTAATGCAAGGACTAACCCTAATCTCTCATGTGGGTGCAAAACTAACCCTAATCAGTCGAATAGTGTGCAAATTTAACACTTATCAGTAGAGTTACCTAAATGTTAGATCATAGTCCAACTAGACGCTGTCATGAGACAGTAATACCCGCACTATGGTGTTTGCCTCTAAATACACACTCCTTCGTATTGGACTTTCAAAGGAAGAAGTCAAAATAATTCTATGATTATCACCTTACATGTATTCGTCAAATTGAACATAAAATTTTCAGGTGACCATATGATCTATGAGCCTCACATATGTATTTTGAATACTTAATTCATTACCAGTCTGAAATAACAGAATTTAATTAATGATTGAAGTAAATTACTTAATTAGATTCAGATAAATATTTTGCCCATAATTTGGAACTTTTTAAATTTACTTTCTCAACGACATATTATTTTAGTACAAAGCGTTTTTGATGAATTTATCAAAATGTGCAAACTGATTTTAGTACTTGGTCGGGAAAAAAACCCATTGAAAATACAACCCGATTAGTTTGTCAATGCCTCTCTCTCTCTCCCCCCCCCCCACACACACACTCTCTCACTCTCACATCTTTTAAAAATAGACCTAGATGGCAGTTATGTTAAAACATAGTTTATTATGATAGTTTGAAATTTGTTCTTGTACTAAACAGTTTTACGTGTGAACATCTTATTTTCTACATTCACATTGGGTTTGCATCACCCATTATCATATTTATAGATATCACCTCTCGGCACACCTCGGCCGATTCATACTGGCAACGGTATCAGCAAAGGTTTGTCGAATGAGATTATTTAGCACATGTATGCTGACGATGCAGTGTGGTCAGTTAAAATCACTTGTGTTTTAACTGGATTATATGGATTATATTTCATGAATTCGTTGTCACGACCTATGACATTCGGTAAGTACAAGAATTAGTATAGATTGCATAAAAATAAATAAATGCAAATGGTTAGGTTGAAGTTCAAAAAGGGTCAAAGATCATCGCATGCCACAGTCGACAAATTTCACATTGTCAAGTTATCTCCCGTTGCGGACATTCAGTATATACAGGCGCAGATCCAGAATTTTTTTTTTCAGAAAGAGGGGGGGGGGGGTGTCACACCACAGTCAAAAAAATCAGCCCAAGATTTCCTGAGAAGCAAATAAAAAATAATAATAAAAACAATGATGGTGGAGTTCCTGTTTTCTAAGGGGGAGGATGTCTAAAGTCATTTTTATTCTCTACAGTACATAGTCTTATTTAAATAACTGCTAATTCCGGGGGGGGGGGGGGGTGTCTGATCTCCCTAGCCACTGACTCCCTGTACCTGAAATGACAATTGATCTTATGACTCCATAATAGTAGAAAAATTTTTCATTTGACTATATATACATATTTTGTTTCCTATGTTTATGTATGTTTGTCTGTCCACAGAAACTTTAACCTTGCCCATAAGTTTTAAGTGGATTGGGCTATACACATGGCTTCAATATTTCATAGGTAAATTTCTTTTGGCAAAACCTTTTAATGGGTACCACCAATTTTGACCTCTTGATCTCTTGACCTTGGAGTTTGACCCACTTTTACAAGAAAAATACCTTAAACTTGGCCTAAGTTTTGAACAGGTGGTGCTAGGACTTTCATGCTCTAACATGTGTAATCATTGTGAACTTTCAACAGGTATAATTATTTTTGACGTAGACCTTAGAGTTGAACCCAATTTAACTTTAACCTTGGCAATAACTTTTGAACAGGTGAGGAAGTTCTAGGGATTTCTCTCTTTTTTCACATGTGTATTCCTTGTGACAAGACTTTCCCTTTGATACCAACAATTTTGACCCTTTGACCTTGACCTTGGAGTCTGACTTACATTTGAGAAACTTCAACCTTTGCCAAAAGCTGCCATAACAGTTGCTGTCACAACAAACAAACAAATTACTAAAAAAAACACAGTATACATGTACATATTTTATATTCAACAGATATACATCTGGTCATATCTCTAGTTCTCCCTTGAATGAGACATGGTGATATAAATTTTAAAAAATAATTATGATAAGATTTGAAAAGGTTGTGCATATTAAAATATACTAAGCTCTGCGGATGAATTAGATATACCAGTTTAGCTTAATTTTGCTACCCAAAGCACCTTGATTAACTATTTATAAGCATACTGTTTTCTGAAATGTACTGATTTCTGTTGTCCATCTGTTTGTCTGCAAACTTTTCACATTAACTTCTTAAGAACCACTGGGCCAATTTCAACCAATTTACATTTAAATATGCAGGGGACTTTTTCCAACATAAATCTTCTTCTCAAGAACAGCAAAGACATTTATTGTCCCCCATTTTCGCTAAGGTAGGGTACATTAAATCTCATTTGTTTGTCAAACTGCCCATCTGTCACAATAAATTTAACCTTGCAATTGGTCATCATGGTCGTATATTTTGAATGAGAAGAGACAGGACTTTTATATTAAACATGTGTATTAGTATTAAATGGGACAATACCATTCTAAATACACTATGATTTTTATTACCCCTGACCTTGAAGTTTGACCTAATTTCATAAACAAATTAATTGCTTTGAATTAATCATTTTGAAAGATAAATGAAAGGGCATTCATATTACCTGTGATAAGATCTTTCCAAATGTATCATGACTTTTTGACTCTGTGACCTTGACCTTGAAGTTTAACTTAATTTTCATTAATGTTGTATTTCCTTTTCATTGAGAAGAGATTCGACTTTCACATTTCAAGTGAACATTACCCATAACAAGATGTTTCCCAACATGCTATGATTTTTTACCCCTTGACCTTGATGTTTTAACAAAATTTCAAAAGAGTGAACTCTCCCAAAAGAGGATAAGACCACTGTTTAAAACGAAAAAGGATTTTAGGGAAGACTGGGCTTTTTCCATAAAAAACGTCATTTTTTGACCCTCATTTGACCCCCCGGGCAAAATCAAAATTCCGAAACCAAACTGCACATCTACATGACCCCACCAATCATCTCCCAAAAGATGATTAGGCTGCTGAATAAAATGTAAGAGGAGTTCAGGGAAGATGGGGCCTTTAGCATAAAAAACGTCATTTTTCGACCCCCATTTGATCCCCTGGGGCAAAATCAAAATTCAGAAACCTTACTACACATCTGCATGACCCCACCAACCATCTCCCAAAAGATGATTAGCCTGCTGAGTAAAATGTAAGAGGAGTTCAGGGAAGAAGGGTCTTTTTGCATTAAAAAAGTCATTTTTCGACACCCATTTGACCCCCAGGGCAAAATCAAATTCCGAAACCTTACTGCACATCTACATGACACCACCAACCATCTCCCAAAAGATGATTAGGCTCCTGAGTAAAATGTAAGAGGAGTTCAGGGAAGACGGGGCTTTTTGCATAAAAAACATCATTTTTTGACCCCCATTTGACCCCCCGGGGCAAAAACAAAATTCCAAAACCTTACTGCACATCTACATGACCCCACCAACCATCTTCCAAAAGATGATTAGGCTGCTGAATAAAATGTAAGAGGAGTTTAGGGAAGACGGAGCTTTTTGCTTAAAAAACGTCATTTTTTGACCCCCATTTGACCCCCTGGGGCAAAATCAAAATTCTGAAAGCTAATTGCACATCTACATGACCCCACCAACCATCTCCCAAAAGCTGGTTAGGCTGCTGAGTAAAATGTAGAAGGAGTTCAGGGAAGACGGGGTTTTTTTGCATTAAAAACTCATTTTTCGACCCCCATTTGACCCCCCGGGGCAAAATCAAAATTCCAAAACCTTACTGCACATCTACATGACCCCACCAACCATCTCCCAAAAGATGATTAAGCTACTGTGTAAAATGTAGGAGGAGTTCAGGGAAGAAAAGTGTGACAGACGGACGGACGGACGGACGGACACACATTTGGTTATATATTGGGTACATCAAGTCCAAGTCCTATTGGATACTGCTTATTGGATACAAAAAATGTGTACACACGACAGAGCATTATTTGGGTAGTTACTGTTCAAATCTTATTGGATATTAATCCTCGTGTCCGTATTTTATTGGGTTTTTTCTTATTGTTTTTTATTCATTTCAAATTTATTATATATTTAATATTTGCTGGTAAATTCAGACAAGACTGAAAACCTTTGGTTTTGAACTCATATTTTTTGTCAATTTCTGTGATATAGCTCTTTTATTGTAACACCTAACTAATTTGTTCTTAGCAATAAGGATATACACCTGTATATTTCAAAATATCTAATATTAAAATATATGAATACCTAAGTGCAAAAAAACTGAAATGTGAAAACATAACTCAACACATCTCAGACTCTGTTCAACCTTTCTTGAATAACAAAATTAAGTATTTAAGGAGAAACCTTTTTGAGTCATGACCAATTAATAGTAAGCAAATGCCCATTAGAAGTTGGACGGAATGAACGTATCCAACAGGCATTGGACAGGTGTCCTATACCTGTTGGGTTGTATTTTAACGAAGGGATTAAACTACCCAAGAACAATTGAACATGTGTACATTGTCCAATTCTATTTGGGTTTCTTGAATCTCCTCATCAAAATACA